GCTTATTGTTTCTAATAGCTTATTGTCTAATAGTGTATTATTGTTACTACTAGTAAGGCACTTGTTACTAGAAGCGATGCACTTGTTCCTAGTTGCTTATTGTTTCTAATAGCTTATTGTCTAATCGCTTCTTGTTCCCAGTAGTAAGGCACTTATTACTAGTAGCGATGCACTTGTTCCTAGTAGCGAGCATGATTGTATGTGCCCAGTTTAGCTCGGCTTGTGATGTTGCTGCACGGTCCTCGGAGAGCCTCTTCTGGTATACGAATCGTTCCTGAGGTTTGCCTATGTGTCGGGACAAACAGTGCAAACGGTTTGATTTTTTCAACCTCATCAGTGTTTTGTAGTGTTTTCATCCACACGTAAATTTGAAGATTGGAGTCGGGCCCGTCAATTTCTGTGAGACTGCTCCCAGATAAGTAATGCAAAACACCATTCGCAAATACTAGTATCAACAAGCTGTGAAAACACGCTCTTTTGTATGTGTACAAGTGCAATAGATAAATTTGTAATTAACCATACATATATTTTATTACATTATTGATTATATCCATGCAATTGCACATCCACTCTACTATGCTTGTATGCAGCATTGGTCAGACGAGCACTATGTCAAACGTTCGAGCACATGGCTGAATTAATTCCAGCAGTTGTTTTTGGTAGATTTTGTGTTTGTAGCATTTTTGGGCATCCACTGAACTGACTAGCTAAGCTGTATTCTGGGCCGAGGGGACATGACATTTTCTATGCATTTGAGGTGGACATTGGCTAAGCCCTGAGGAGTGCAAGGACGACTGTGTGCAGTGTACCAAGATGGGCATTGACAGCACCCAAAACTCCGAATGCTGCAGCAGGATCCCAACAGCTGGGAAGTCGTGAACGTCACCACTGTCAGGGTCTTTGAGCACTCGCAGTTACACTTCTATCTAAGAGTAAATGTTGGTACTGTAAATTGGGCCACAACCCAAAAGGCGTACTTTTTGTAGGAGATTTGAGAGTTGCTCTCAGGTTGGTCCGCGCGCATTCTCGTAAAATGACAGCTGTACTGCTTCGTGTTTAGACATGTTTAGACTTTTCGTGCTGAAGTGGGAGGAGAAGCATTGATAGTATAGATCATGTCCTGATTATGGGCACTGCTTGCCGTACTTCTAGCTGCTTTCAGTTCATGCGACTGAACTTGGCTGGAGCGCCAGATCACCAGAGACACAGGTGGCAACTCTTACTCATGCTGCATGCAGCAGACATTTTGCGCAGCGTTCTCCTTTGGTTCTACACGTGCCACTGCTTTAGGATGCCTTAGCTGGATCCGCACCAGTGGTAGGTCGGTTCACTACAACTGCCTTTGCCGTTGACAGCTGTAGACTCATTGGGCTTCTCTTTTTCTCTCCCTCTCCCTCTGACTCTATTGGCAAATGAGCTGACAGGATTGGAGTAACCAGATTTCAGCAGACCGGAAAGTTTGCTGCACGTCATGCCACACACACACAAGCACCACTTGAGATTGGTAGATGTGGATGCTGCAATTCCGTCTCCTATTTGGCCTGAACGTACTCTGTCCGGCATTTGGTAAGAGTACGGCATTTGTTGTGCCATATTGAAGAAGGGTGCGCTTGGTATGTTCCATGAGGCCCAAATTTGTTACAAAGATTGGTTGTAGACTGAATGTACATGGATTTCAGTGTGTGTGTGCCCCTTGTAGTCACAGGGATTCTTTGGAATTGTAGTTTTGAGCAGGGGGGCACAGGAGGCCCATAGAGCTGTGCCCAACGAAGCTCTCTATGGTGACCTCAGAATATGCAGCCTGATCAGCTGCACGTACCTGCTGAATTTTAACATTTGCCGAGTTAGCTTCTGCAGTCACGCACGCAACGTCGTCATCTCGCCCTGTTCGTCGTTTTCGACCTTACGCTTTTGGCCTCACTTCCTCTTGAAGACCCCCAGGATCCAGGGCTTCGTACATGTACTCTTAGGCATTGGACGCCTAGGCCGGCGTGTGGCACCGCTGTCAAGTCAGTACGCATTTCCATAAGTGTGTGCAATCAGTGCCTCGCTGCTAGTCTGCCCACTCAGCATCCCTGTTGCTTGACCCTGTGATCCCACCAGTGTACATTTGAGCAAGAGGGTCCAGGGTCAAGACCTTGGAGAGTTCTGTCAACTTGAGGTAACACACTATCTTAGATTTTGCATGATTTTGCAAAGTTGTGTAACAGCGCCCAAGTCCAAACTGTGGTGGCATAAGCATTTCGCAAGTTCATGCCCTTTGACTACCACAGCCCATATATCATGCGGTTTGACCACCGCTCGTTTCAGCGGCGCTAGCTCGGAAGAAAAGTATCGGTGATAGCCCGTGTGCTCTGTTTTGCAAGCTCGTGGAAACCTATGCCAGCCACCTTGACAGTTTCCCGCTGATCATTCCTTACCATCCCGTAGAACATCCGACTTGCCAGCGCAGCTTCGACTGCTTTGTTTGACAGATGCGGAGGCACATGGCACATGTTCAAGCGTTACAAGCAAGATTACAATTACAATATGAATCATGAGACCTTCTTAGTTTATAGTTTGTTTGCAGGAACGGCAAGTCAGGTCAGAAGGAGAAGAGAGCATTGTGTGTGTGGTTGCACTTAGGCATTCAGCAGCTCATATTGTTAAGGCTAAGGGGCAACCCTTTGAACACTGAAAGTTAGTGAGAGAAGGAGATCTAAACCCAAAGAGCCAAGGCCAACCACGCTCGACCATCCCAAAAACTGAGGGTGTCTTCTTCAGACTTGCTCTCCACATAATCCAACTTTGAACAGTTCAAACAACAGATACGCAGATAGGGGAAGCGACATTGGCTGAGGTTGATGCGCTTCTTGGCCCTCATGGAGTTGTCGATGTGCTGAAGGCAAACTGAGAATTCTGCCTTCGTGGAGTGAGCATGAGTGAAACATGTGGTGTGTGTTCTCACCACGCCTGACAACTCCCAGCCTCAGGAAGATTGCAAGACATGTTGAAATGTCAGATCTGGACAACATGGTGGGGTGAGACATAGGGTCATAGGGTGTAACATTCTGTTCGGTCAGTGAAAGGGCAAAGATCTGGCCTGCAGGTTGACGTGGAAGGCTACGAGTGGCCAATCATTGAAGGCGCTTACCAAGCCCTTTCCACTGGCAGGTTGGTGCCTGATGTGTTCAAAGCCTTTAAGCCTTCAAGACGGGGCAGGCAAGTCTGCTTTTCTTGGCAGCTCAGGGTTGGCCTCCTCATCATTGAGTATGGTGACAAGTGGTCCTTTGATACCTCGGAGGCAAGTTTTAGTCTTGTGGGATTTCAGGCCGTCGTTCAAGGTGACATTTTGGAGTGTCCCCAGAGCATTGTGATTGCCAAAGAGTTTGCTGAGGCAGCTTTGAAGTTCCGCTCCGCATTTCATCATGCCACTTTGCATTAATTAGCTGCGAGCACTGGGATGTGTCAAGACAACTATTGTTTCCAGTTTTTGCCATTGTTTCCTACTCTTAGATCTTTTAATCATGACAAGTTGACAGAAAGTGTGACCAGGCGAAGACCCAGGAGCAACAAGACGCCGCAAAGCCCACGCTGCTCCATCCCCGGTGAAGATGTTTTCGTAACAATAATGCTATTGATTTGTTTCCAGCGCCCACAGTCAAAAATATGTGACTCTGTGTGCTATACTACTCTTCTCTCATTCTGTGTGCAAGCTGCTTCTCAGGTGGTCAGTAATGCAGTTCATGCAGTCTCTTGGGTATGCTGCTTGGATTGTGGGGATTCAGCTGTGCGGCTATTGTGTCACTACGCCCCCATCCCAGTACGCCTCATGACTCCTGTGCCTATTCATGTGCTGCATTAACATTTTCTGTTTAAGGCAATCCATTCGTTTTGGCTGCGTGAAGTTTTTTCGGACGACTGTGCTTTTAGATGAGCCCCTATAATATATATCTATATAATCATAACTGGCACTCCTGGCAGTGCAGTTTTCTTGCAAATTTGTGTTCTTTTGAGCCAACATTTGTAAAGAAAATTGAATTTGAATGCATGTAGAGTTGAATTGGAACTGAATTAGAATTACACTACAATTGAATTAGGTGTGTTCAACATATTTTAAATAGTCCATTTGTCATAGCAAATGGGCCAAAAAGCGCACTGCCACAACTGCCCGCTCTCTAACTAATTCAATTCCATACCAAGCGCTATTAGGTTGAAGGCTATCGCTCCTAGGTTGGAGGCCATCGCTATTAGGTTTCACTCTACTTGCAACTTTAAAAAAATGAACCGATCCATATCAAACAAGGATGGCTACTTCGTTGGCTCAAAAACTCCGCTGCCTATTTCAGGAGCTGCTTGGCTGCACGGTGGTGAGATGTGCTGCATCAGTGAAATGCGTGTAACAGTGTAACACATGCACTAAGGATCAATGGCACGATGCTGGCCTCTCAAAAACCTCGTGAATTTCTCGATCTGTGGTAGTGCAAGTTGCTATTGTGAAAGGGTGTGGCGGGCTGAGATGCGGCAGTGCATTGCACATCTCAGGTCTATGAGGTGTGCCTTGCTCCGCATCGAATATGCTACTAGCCGGCACGCTCATGGTCAATCTCCCTCCTCGCGCGAAGCCCATTGGATCACAGCTGACAAACTGCCAAGGCTATGATGGTGCTGGCAAAGTGTGCTGGTTCGATGTAGCATTTGCACACCAAAGGCAGGAAGTCAATGACACACCAACATAAACCAACCACATGCATCGTGATGTCAGATTATAGTATAATTTATACACATTATGTTTGGTCGGTGCCTTGTTTTGACTACATTGTGCAGAAGAGAGGGCCCACAATATACTGACTGTTGCTTTGGGGGGCAGTCATTCTCACGGGCACCAGCAGTGACACGACAGTGTGCATAGATATATAGCTTCCCAGCGGTGTTACCAGCAGGCAGGTGGCTCGGATTTAGTTGATGTGTTTGCTTGCTTGCTTGTTTGTCTGTTTGTTTGTTTGTTTGTTTTTCCCCACACACTCTGGGAACATAGGGGTTCTTAGTTCTTGTGATAATAGATCGGAGGGGTGCGCATCCGCGTCCAGCTAATTCGCTGCTACTATTTACAGTGCATTCACTCACCTCGAGACAATCGAAGTGCATTTCGACTGCGCAGGCTCGCAGAATCGGGCTCTCGTCGTGGTGCCGTGCGCATTTGATAACTTGTCGTGGCAGGCGCAGGGGAAACCTCATGTTTTGGTGGTCCAAAGCCGGTTTTTCATGACAGGCGCAGGAGATCGTCCGAGCGGTTTTCGGTCGATGTGCAGATTTCGTGGCAGGCGCAGTGCTATGGACATGGTGGTGGTCTGCGGCGTGCCCTGATTTCGTAGCAGGTGCGGTGAGTCGTGACCTTTGGACATGTGGCTCGTTTTCAAGGGTTGGAGGAGGTCTTCTGAGGAGATGAGAGCGAAAGCTGCGTTTTGGCAGCTTGATGTTGTGCTTGGAAGTGCTTTTGGTGCGAATCGCCTTGGCAGGGCTGCGCAATGCATTCTCCCCAAATGCCCATCGGCTTTGCCAGATTGCTATCGCTTTCACAAAGCTGCGACCGACTCCAGACCATTGTCACCACCTCGTCGTGGCAGAGTTGTGTGACTTATTTTTCTTGGGGTGAGGGTGTCAGTCGAGCTTCGCTGTTGTCCTTTGCAAAACTGATGTTATCAGATGTGTTGGCTTCAGAAAATCGTCATTGCGGCTCATTGGGGTTATAAAATTGCTGGAACAAGCTGCACAGAAATATACGGAAATTGAATTTATGGTGCAGTTTAAGGAAGACCACGCGTTGTTGAAGTGAGAATCGTGTGCTCCCTCCACCGAACAGTCCAAACAGGGGTTTGAAGTGATAATTAAGTTGCAAGATGTTATACGCACGTGGAGGTGTTGTGCGGATTTGTGGGGTTGGCTATTGATCTAACAAACCTACACATCAATTTTGCCAGTGGGCCAGTGGGATTTGGTAGTTCTTTCCTGCTCGCTCACCGCTCACCTTGCTATTTCCTTCGGTCCCATTTTTCGTCCACTCTCACCACACCTGCTTTGTGGATTGGCCTTGTGTCGGGTTCTGTTTGCCCTTCTGTCTTGCCACAAGCCATCTCACATCTTAATATGTTCGTGCGCTGCTTGCCACGAGAGTTCATTCGGCTTCGGATGCCAAACCTTGAAAGCATGGTGCATGGTTGCACCCTATTGCTTTTCAAGTGTATAATATGTATGATCCCGTATGGGCAACAAACATGAACAACAGACTGCTAGCCCGTCCTGCTTTAGAGAGAACACTGGCACATCTTTTGGTGAACGACATTTGAGCTATTGGAGAACAGCTTTGAGGACAACATACTTGTTCTCTTATTTCAGCACCCGTTCTCAAACTCAAAGCACTTGTGCAGCTGATTTGTGTCCCATGGCAGGCACTTGCTATCTGATGCAGTCAGGGAATTGGTGTATTGGAGCGAGCTGAAGGAAAAAGTTTGCGCTTGGTGCATTGCTAGACTCTTTATGCAGATCACGGCTTTTTTTGCATTGCTTTTGCAATCATACGCTATTGAGGTCCAGTTTCTGGAGTTTTGCTTCGAGTGGCTGCCACAGTCGAGGTGCAACTCCAAAAGTTGATAAGCTGGTGGAACCAAATTTATGTAGCGAGACTATCCACATATATTGGGCCCAACTGTGAGGATGCTTACAAAGCCTCCTCCGCGATCCCTGCCTGCAAAGCCCATTCCGTTGAAGGAACAGGCTGGGCTGGCACTTTAGGCAGACATCTGTACTTGTCAATTTGCTGCATGTTTGCTGCACGGCACCCACGCACAGTGTGCAGTATTGAAGCTTCAGCCAGTGAGATTCGAAAGCGTCAAATTCAGATGACACCATGCTAGAAGCATTAAATTGCTTGTCCCTTCGCCTGAGGCCGAGCCAAAGGTCTTGAAATATCCCAAGAGGCCAAGCTCGGTTGCAAGGTAATGATGTAGACAATTGGCCTCATCAAAGCTCCCTCCAGGCCGGCTGTTGGAAAAGTTCGGCCACCTGAGCCGAAAGTACTGCCCAGAGCAGTTCACAGTTTGCAATTGCCCGCCTGGTGCCCCATTCTTGCAAGTGCACTACAGGCTGTTTCAATCTGGCAGACCGCAGTTCATCAGTTGAGCCTGGTTGTGAAGTAGCAACACAGTTCGAATCCTGTTGCACTGTGCGTTAGGTCATGCCAACCCTGCAGCTGAGCAAAGCAAGCGGGCTACGATCTCAACAAACTCTCCTGCATCGGGCTTTTGCGTTGCCTGATTCTGTGTATGAGTTTGGGGGTTCTTTCTTTTTTTATCTTCACTTTCAGTTCGCCCACTGACTGACTGGACCTGACTGTCACTTGCAATTTGCAGCTCAAGAATCCCACATGGTGTTCGGAAGTCAGCTCGGGGCAACCTGCCGGTGAAGCATATTATTATTGAACCATCATGCAAGCGCGAAGGAGTCTGGCATTCTCGTTTAAGAACACTTTGAGGAACAAAACTACATGCAAGCCGGACATGCTGCTTGGAAGCCAATCGAAGCTGGAGTTGCTTTCAAGGCAGCCTTCAGGGTCCAGGACGCTGGCTAAACAAACTTCGCAATCCAAGCCTTGGCATGAGCTTCCGCCACATCAATTGGCGGTGGTCACAACACTGGGCAACTTAGCATCCCTTTCTGCAGCTGCCAGCCAAGATCACGCTGTGGTTCGACTGCTCTCTGGTGTTTCCTCTTTGGTGTCAGTGGGCTACAACTCGTTCATGCCAAAACCCTTGAAGACGCATCAACTGACTGCTGTCGCATGGAGCTGTGCCTTTGCCATGCTCCACTTTGTCAACTTTGGATTGTTGCTTTGGGAGAGCAGCCATGCTATTAAACTCAGTGACGAAGAGGAGGACATTTATGAGCATGGCTTTCAAGTCCATCGAGTCACTCCACGCCAATTCCGCAAACTGTTGGATTCAGGTGCGAAATTTCGAGATTACCAGCCTGGTGCTTTGATCACAGTATCTCGCCTTTATTGGGAAATGATGCGTGCAATTCTCCAAGCTCTGAAGACCGAGGTAAAAGGAAAACCTGAGTAGTGCAAAGGGGTCCAACATGGTCCAACAAGAGTGAAGTCCCCAAAGCATCCAACGTTCGAGAAATGCCAAAAGGTTTAATGACTGCATGATTGCCGACTGCAAACTGATGCAATGGCTAGCATGATTGTTCTAACTACAACCGGGGCCCAAAAAGCAAGTAAGTGGTGATCATCCTCTCGCAGGTACGTGCAATTAATTTGCGTCCAGATTGCATATCACGGCAAACTTATAGTGTTTTCGTTCAGCGGCGACTTCAAGCATGCCCACCGCTCCCCTGCAAGTTCTAGATATAAAGGATGAGATATAAAAACAAAGCCAAAGGGTACCTTGCGATTCAAATCTTGTATGCACACACATATATATATATCTATATGTACATACTCATATGTACGTATCACTGTGCTTATTCAATATAACATGCTTTATGTACATCCCACATATCCATGTTTGTTTGTTTGTAGTTTGTTTGTTTGTTTGTTTTTTAACGGACTATTCTGTAATGTATTTTGTGGACTCTTCTGATATGTTTTGGTCACGAGTTCCTGTGTTGCAGCCTACATGTAAGGAATACGGAAAGCCTGTCAGCCGAGTCATTTACGTGACACATGGAACCTGCATTGGAGAGCGTGTTGGAGGTTGTCCTGTTCTGGAATACCACCAGGTTGGGCTGGACAGTTTGTGTTTGCAACACAGTTTTTAATTTACGAAGGCAGCTGTGAAATGTACGGCAACACGACAACATATGAATGATTGCATGAAGCAAGGCTGAGAGTCGACTTGGCAGGACGTGTTCATTGGCCACTTGCAGCCCAAGATATGGCGTGCAGAATACTTGGGCTCTGGGGATGTTGCGAACATAGAGAGCCTTGGCAAAAGGGTTAAAGTGGTTCTTGACCAGTGTTGCAGTCAGGGTGGCTCAAGGAGAAAAGTAAGGAAAATAATGGAACTGAATCTTAGGCTGACCTACCAAATCCATACCCGCTCAGGGATCTTGACAGTGATGCAGAAGAAGATTGGTTGATAGAAAAGTGCGCGAGAAGGCGCCGGCAGCAGAATTGACTGGGACGGAAGTGGGTGCCATCGAATCTCAAGTCGGCTAGGGAGAGGTTGTTTACTCATACGGGAGAAAGATAGAGAAAGCTACCTTCAGGGATTCTCACTACATTATGCTTTCATATGCTTTCATTGCCGTGCAGGAAGCGACGATCACCCAAAGACCTTCGATCTTTGCTGGAAGCCGGGTTGGCTGAACGCACCGGGCCCATTACAAAAGTGCAGGCAGGATGATGGCTTTCGGAAGGCCCATTGCGGCATGTAGCTCCATGACATCTCCAGATGTATGTAAGACCCTTAAGTTTCCCTAAAAATCTAGAAACCAAATCATTAGTGCGAGCGCTTCTTCAAGGAAGCTGCCCGCCGCCTGAGAAGCGTGAGCTATCCTGGAAGAAGCGTGAGCTATCCTGCGTCCGAAGTAGTAGCTACTTAAGGTACTAGCCTACCTCTAGCTACTACCTGCCCCTAGGGGCCTAGTTCTGTCAGTAGTAGCGTTCTTGTGGCTACCTCCCTACTGGCTACCTACCTCTATCTGCTGTGCTACCTACCTCAGTTGCGGCCTACCTTCCCCTCCCCCGTCAACTTGCTATATTAACCAAAACACATCCAAAACACGTTTGAAATCATTTGGACATTTCAACTAATGCCACCAAACTGCTAGTATGCGTCGCATGCGTTCAGTCCGGAGCTTCCTGGAACGGAACAACAAGAGCGGGCCCTGACGGGTGTCGAGCCGCCGGCTTACTTATGATGTCGATTGTTTGAGAGAGTTTCTTCTTCGCTTCATCAGTTAGTTACACTGCGATCGCCAGAGTCTGACAACCTTGCAGATTGTGAATCAATTCAGGTGATTGAATGGCCACTTGGGAGCTTCGCATGCCGGGTTGGTTCAGACGAGTCGTTGTGCAAGGCTATGGAAAATATGTTTCAGCCTCAATCAAACCGACACAGATGCTTTGGCAAGAATCGAGAAATCCTTGTGGACACCTGGAGACCTTGCCTCAGGTGCACACTCAGCTTGGCAGCAAAGATCAGCCAAGGGGCGAGGGGCAAAGCTTTGGAAGGCTACTCTGAGCTCTTGTCTTTGGTGGTCCGCGATGGGATCGTGGATCCGGAGGAGCGACAGGCTTTGTCACACTACCGAGCGCGGCATGCGGTTCCTGACACCGAACATTGGCGAATGTTGGATGAATTGGGTTGGACACTTGAAGAGTTTGACCAGGGAGTTCTGAAATCCCACCACCAGAAATTGTGCACATCACGGCAAGCAAGCTTTTGGCACTGGCTCCTTCCATAGGAATGAGGTCCTGCACACGCTGGACATCGCTGGACCCAATCCTGTCGAACGGACTCCGATAGCCTGGAACACGCGGAACAACTGGACCAAGGTCGACCAAGGTCAGCAGAAGGTTGACGTGTCAAAGCAGCAATTTCGAAGTGTCCGAGATGGCAAAAGGTAAAACGTGTCTTCAGGACATTGAATGTGAAGGTTTGTGGTGGATGCTGAACTGCCACTCACAGCTTCAAGTCTAAAAAAGTGATGGCATGGCTGCCATGAGTGCACATGAGTCAGTATACTGCATAATTGTAATACATATTATTCAAAAGGATCTGCCTGGTTTGTAATTAGTAGTTGAGGCAAAATGCTCGTTTGTTGGAAGAAGATCATCTTTGCTACGGAAGATGGCAGCAGCATGTTCTTCGCTTCCTGAATTCCTTGGCCCAGGCTGGCCAAAGGCCGCCCACAGCCACCTGCTCGGCCACCTGGACAATTGCCCAGACCTCCGCAGGCGTTCGACTCTAGATCTACTGGCACCTTCTAGATAATTTCTAGATCATTCTGGTGAGGAGGTTTTGTAGAACCACTTTTTCGAGTCGTGTTGTGTAGAACGGTTCTGTATTCCCTTTGAATCATTGAATGGTTGCGCGCGCAGAGACACACACACACACATACATCCGCACACCTTACACGTGTTTGTTTGTGTACACTATCACTGTACACGTCTATCATCAATCCTGTATGCACAGCATGCAGACTAAGAAATGAATGAAATTGAGTGATGCTACAGCAGCAGCAACCATCGAAGAGCTCCAGGGACCGCCGCCACCTGGACATCTCCTGGCACGGGCTCAATCCCCTGATTCTGCGGCACCAGAGTTGGCTTTCACAGGTGCAGGCCTCAGTGGCTAACTGCATCCCTTAAAAAGAGCACTCTCTGTGAAGGTCGATGCGCATTTTGGCAAGTGTTTTGTCTTCACGCCAGGCTTTTCAGAAATCTCGAAGGTAGCACCGGGAACGACCGCCGCTCAGACTGCCAGAATTGAAAGGGGGTGCAAATTCATTCCAGATCTAAGGATGGGTCCGTTTGGCTTGACACTGCCCGAATTGCCGCCCTTGCCCCAGGGCAATTTGAAGGCCTCAACAGATTCCACTCCCTTGCTTCATTCACTCCCGTTTCGCAAATTCGTTCTGCTTTCAACAAGCTTGTTTTTCCAGCTTCTCATGCATTCCCATGCCACCTCAAGCTCATGGCAGGCCATTGCCGATGGAAAGCCGGCTCCGGCTCCCCCGCCCAAAGGCTCTGCCGGCCCCAGGCTTGGTGACATACATCACCTGAGCTGCTGGTCACAGCTGTTAGTCAGGGTTGAAGCCATCAGGTCTGAGTATGTTTCCTTAATCAGAAAAGGAGCTCAACTGGCAGGCCGCCAAAAACCCCACCACCGGTGAGCAAGATGTTCTTCGCTGGGGCCTTGCTCTTCCAATTTCATGCACCCAAATCCGATTTTCAGAGCAATCTCTGCTTCAGTGCTCGGGACTGCGATCAGGTGGCGCCTAAAGGCGTACCATTGGCAGTGCCTGCACTGCCTGCGCCACCAAGCAATCAGCCAAGGCAGGCACCCGAGATTGCTAGAATGTAGCTTGCGGATTGCTGTCTGAGAATAGCAGTGCGGATTCAGAATGCAGCAGTTTTGTAAACGCTGCAATTTTAGATGGCTTCTTATGATGCAAGTGTATTGGTGTGGAGGGCGTGCCCTGCTCTCCCGAAGCTTCCGCCAGCGAGGCTGCTGTAGTTTGAGGAGTGAATCGGTTTGGGCATCTATGCTTGTATTGGGCCTTGAGGACGTTCAGTCAGCTCAGCACTATCAGATCTGGCTTGGCACCTGGACGTGCGGACAAAAAGGAAACGATGGAACTGCCTGCTGAGCATTGGCACTAAGGAGGTGGCTCGCCACGACAGCCGCCGCCGCCACCGGTATAGATCTCACGCTCTTTTTAGAACTGAAGGACGCCAACTGTTACAGCTGTAGTAGTAGATGCAGTGTAGCTTTGACTCCATTGACTCAGGCACCACCTACTGAACCAAAAGTACCAGGCGAGCAAGACATGTTGCAATTGGACTTGCCCAATAGTAGGTACCTGTACATCTATGAGTTAATTAAACATCCATCATTGATCATCCTAGCGTGTGTTCAGGCCTTTTGTCTAAACCAGGCTTGACAACATCTCCAGCAGCAACAACTCCGAGAGCAACCGCTTCACACGAGGACAGCTTCAGAGTGCCGCAAGCCCATTGCACAGCCCAGACGGTTGACTCCCAGGGCTTCTGCATGTTTGTTGCCGAACCCTTTCAGGACATGTCGCAACGTTTGGCGGGAAGCCTGCCACAGTCTTGGAAGGGAGATCAGCAAGGTGGTAAGCGAAGGTGAGGCGGCATGCAGCTTTTGCAGTCCTGGTGAATACTGCGGCCCCAGCAGTTTCACTGATTGGGCTTGCATGGTTTACGTATGGTTTACGTATGCATTTACAGCTCCAAAAAGTCTTAAGATCTTCAATATCCGCATTCTATTCTAGGCCTGTCAGAAGCAATGCCATGCACTGTCGATAGTCACCAACCATCAAGGCCTGGAGCTGTCAGCCCTGAAGAGGCAGGAAAATGATAACAGTAGATCTCAACCGGCACAGCAAAAGAGACTTTGCTTAAGTCACCCTCAGGTTGTTGAGCCACTTGCTGAAGACGCTTGCAGCTCAAAGAATGCTGTCCTACCCGAAAGTGAATATTTGTCCATGATTGGAGAGCTGCCCAATTGTGAAGTCAAAGAAATGTGAGGTGGAGAACGAGCCTGGTAGAAGCCCACAAGTGGACCATGCCTCATATTGACTATTTTTGACTGCTTGCTCTTTTGGATTCCAAATCCTGCACTGATACTCCCATTGGACCACAAGCGGAACAAAAACAAGGTCAGAGATCCTGAGCACACAATGCCGGCGCTGTTCTTAGAGCTGATATTGCGAGCAGATGTTTATGGGTCGGCCACCACCTAGCAACCAGTTCACATCTTATTGTGAAAACTAAGGCGCCTGCGGATGAGGTGAGGAAGCTGGTGCGTAGTGCATTTGATTGGTTGAGCTTCTGAATGCAATACACAGGTCAGAGTGCCCCCTGTCAGGCTTCTCCCGTAAGAAGTCCAAACCGACGACGGCGTCCAGTGGTGGCGTCACGCGCCCGCTTTTGCTGTGGTGTATATAGTTGTATTTTGATGTATTTGGACTGATGGATGTGCTTATGCAAGCACGGTCAAATAGATGTTCTTCCCCTGCTTACCTTGCTTCAAGGTCTTCTGAAGCGGCATTGCGAGAGATGGAGGAATGTGATTTGCTTCTGGCTCAGTGAGTCTAGAGTCTAAAGTCTTGAAGGGTCACTGAAGATGCCGCCACACGCCATTTCATTATTGACTGCTTGCCAAGCACCAGGCCAAACATTCCAAGATCAGCATCATCTAAGCAGGGCTCGATGCCGCCCCAGGGCTCAGATGAGAACATCGACCTTGGAAGATTCATATGCTTGAGCTGCTTGAGGCTTGCACTTCCCAAAGGAATGCGAGCAGTGTCGCACCGTGACGCAGCGACCTCACACTTGGTAGGAGCAAGAAGCTACTAGGAGCAAAGGGCATCGCTACTAGGGGCTCCTGGCCATACTACTAGGAACAAGAAGCTATTGGAAACAGGAAATATATACCAGTAGAATTAAAAGTAATTAGAATTAAGTTTAATTAATCGTTCAGCCATTGGACTTTGGGATGCTTGCGCACGTAGAGTGCCAATGCCCTAGGTGTCCGCGCCTGCAAGGCGGGTGCGGAGAGCTTCTCAACTGGATAGAATAAGTTTTGCCACCAGTTCGAGGTCGCCCAACATGTCCTCTCCCGTGTCTTTGTCACCTGTTCGAATCTTAGACCTCAGCTCAATTCGGACCATCACCCTGTTTGCTGGCTCCAGTCTGACAAGTTCACATAGACCAAGGGTGCAGACCAGTCTCCGGTCCGCTTTGAGGGGTCAAACCTCAGGCCGCCTGTCATGAAGCAGCTGTGGCTGTTTTGCATTTCGTTACCGGGTATGGTGCATACAGAGTTGGGTTGGGAGGTTTGAGATGCCAAAGCAAGCTTCGACTGCTTCAACTCATGTGCCCTCAAAGCTGCGCGCTTCTGCTTCAACTGCTGCACACGAATTGGTAGAAACTTGAGACAAGAACACTGGGTGCAGAGCATCGCAGAGCTATTCGGCTATTCGAGGTACCACCGGGGAAGCATGCTGCGCGTTCGTGCCTGAATCCGTGAACGTCGAGAAGCAGATGGCAGATACCACAGCCAACCAACTACACTCCTGAATCCTCCCAAGGACAACCACAGCCACCTCCTAAGTATCCACCTCCTGGAGGGCTTCATCCTCGGAGCGTCTTCTTTGGCAGTTTGTGTCTAATAGGAATTATATATAGTTATATAATATAGGAATAGCATTTACTTTGAGAATGTCTTGTCTATCAGGTCTGTCGATGCAGCCCTGCTCTTAATATCATTGAATCGTTTGCCGATGGCTCTCAGTTTAAAGAACTTAGTCAGACTGAGCCGGACTACTGTAAGCAAATTATTGCCTTTGGCTAGTTGGTCACAGCAGGTCCACCATCTTCCTGGTGGGCCTGGCGGGCCTGGACTACCACCGATGCCTGGGAGCTCTAGATGTGTACTGTGTTTACTGTAAAGAAACTGTTTTGTTGTGTTTCTGAGACCTCAGAACTGAGGCCGAAGCATCCTCCAAAACCACCTCCAAAGGTTCGTGGCAAAGCCCTGCTTCCAACGCCACCATCAGGTGCATCCGACTTTCCAAGCGTTCCCAGAAGAGAAAGACAGTTAACATCAGTCAACACAGTGCAGAGCTGGAACGAGTTCCTTTTGTCGACAGGGCCAATTAGGCTGCACTGCGAAGTGCCAAGGGTAGTGATATTGTGTTCAGGACCACCACCTGCTCATGCTATTGTTTTGGCCAAAGGAAAGCCCCAGGACTGCGCAAGGGATACTTTGTGGGCTTTTCAATGTTCATCAAGCGCTCGCCTTTGCCAGGATTTCTCCAGCAGCAGCGGTTTGCAGGCAAGCTTCGCTTCAGGTTGTGTTTGCGCATGAACATCCATAGCCAAACCCACCAGGCGGTGCTTGCGAAGGCAAAACCGCCTCCGCCATTGGCAGCTGCCTCAATCACGGGAGTAGTCAAATGAATACTTGTGGCTGAGCTTTTGAACGCTCACAAGCATGAAATGGTAAGACTTTGGATGAAACTCTGCGGAAGTTTGCTGAAGCTTGTTTGTTTTTGTTCCTAAGCACTGGTGCAAAAAGTACTCCATTGTGTCAGGTGCATCCACCTTCTGAGCCACTGCCCTCTTTTGTATACCGGGCAAGTTCGCAAGCTGCGTCAGCCTCAGTTTTGCAGGTGGGGACATTTTTGTAGTGGAACATGTCATTCAGAGTATCTGTCTTCGATCTTGGGTCTAGGAGTCTAGGCTGTAGGCAGAGTGGGTTTCTAGCATCTATATAGTAGCACCCAATAGCAAAAGGATAATACACGAATATCTCTATATATATAATTACATCATCTATTCACGACACAAGTCAACAGCATCTTTTGACGACGGTTAGCTTTGCTGCCGTGCGGTGAGGCTGTCAACAGCCGGCCGTTGAGCGGCTGTTTTTGTCCGACAAGCCCATCCCAATGGATCTAGCTGATTCCGTAAACGCCTGCAGCGAATTTACATTTGGGCATGAAGGTTGGATTGAAGAACAATCCGCCCTCACACGAACCTCCCTTTGACACACCGGCTGCTTTCTCACAAGCGCGAAAAGCACTATAACATTATCAAATGGATTGCCCAGCGCAAATGTACAATACTATACCAAGCCAGTGGCGTTTGAGGTGCAAACCGAACCCTTTCCATTCCGCGGATGCTGCACCTGAGCCAAGTGATGTACAGCACAATCACATTCACCCACAAGATTCCCAAAGTACAAATGTAATTACTCAGCTCTGGCCGTTCCAGGAAGATGTCCAAAGAGCGCAGGCCATACAAAGCTTGTGGCCGTACACCACCATTGCACCAAGTTCGCATGAACCATCAATCTGAGTGCCACCAAGCACCGGACATGCACAGGAGGTGTTCCAATTGAAGGGTCTCAGCAACTTCCACAACTCAGGATTTGTTAAAAGGGCATTCTTCCAATTCTATCGGCTTTGATGTCCTGTGGTGGGAACAAAGCTCTTGGACAGTAGGTATGTGTTAAACGCAGTTTCAATTTGTTGACATGTTTCTGCTGTGTTGGAACCTTTTTGCATTGCTGTGCTACAAGTGTTCTGCGTGTTTCCACGAGTTGCTTGGCTTTGCTCCCATGCTTTGATGTGGGGTGCCCCATCCTATTCACAAGGCAAGGGCTTGCCTTTGGGCAATTTTGGGCAAAGACACTGCGCCCTGATGCCAATTCCCTCCAGATGTTTCCAAACCGATCGCAACCAAACCTGGAAGCAGCCGAGCAAGCCGGCCAGCAAGCAAGCGCAGTTGCCAGGCAACTCCAGCTAGAATAGAAGCCGAACATGAAAGAAACACCCACCACACGCATCCGGTCCACAAGCACCACACAAGCACAAGCAAAAAACAACATCAAAAAAAAACACGAAGAAGCAGCAATATCAAAAGCAGCAGGCGGGTCATATGTAAGGCACGACAATCAAAAAAGCCAGCACTGGACCCTTCTCAGGATCCACTGGAGTCTAACAAAGTGCAATGGGATTCTTTTGTTCAGATCTACACTGAGGCCTTGCAAGCTATCATGGATGGAAGGGAGAACGGTTCCAAGGTTGGAACTATTCAGTGGCTGTCACGAGGAAAACGAGAGAGAGAGAGAGGGAGAGAGCGAGAGACAGACAGACAGACAGACAGAGACAGACAGAGACAGACAGAAACAGACAGAGCAAGACAGCCAGACAGCCAGACAGCCAGCCAGACAGCCAGACAGACAGAGAGCCAGACAGCCAGACAGCCAGACAGCCAGCCAGACAGCCAGACAGCCAGACAGCCAGACAGCCAGACAGCCAGCCAGCCAGCCAGGCAAGCAGGCAGACAGGCAGACAGGCAGCCAGGCAGGCAGGCAGGCAGACAGAGAGAGACAGACAGAGAGACAGACAGAGAGAGACAGACAGAGACAGACAGAGACACAGACAGAGACAGACAGACACACAGACAGACACAGACGGAGACAGACAGACAGGCCAGGCCAGACCAGACCAGACCAGACAGACAGACAGACGGGTGCACAATACACAAGAGGGAGGGCACACAACATCATACAACTGATTGTTTCGACTGCTTTGGAGTGCCGTCGCTCCCAAGATCCGTCGTTGCGAGGCATCTGCTTTGGAACCACTTCCTCCAAAGGCAGAAATGTTGCACTGCACAGTGCTGACATGTGGTGACACTGTTCATATTTCACACCCATTAGGCGCCTCCGCTTAATGACACACGGGCTTTTGCTGTTCGGCGCTGAAGCTGTGCCACTCCGCCAGTGTTCTACTCTTAGCCATGGCCACGGCACTCAGGCTTTGCCTCCAATTGTCAAGGAGTATGTGCCACTTGACAAGGGTCCGAAACCAGTGCCGGAATTCGTTGTGAAGGTGGGAACGCTGTGAGAGAGCCAGCTGTGGCTTCAGATTCACATTTGTGTGGGCTTCAACTTGCACAGAGTAGTTCACCAGGTAAGTGTGTGGACTGTCTACCTGTTTGTGTGAGAAGCTCAGTTCCATCTTTCAAAGCTCTCAGTTCCATTGGTTTCAACCTCAGGTTTTGGATTTTTGTGTACAGCATTAGCATTATTGCGTATTACGGAGTCTACATGGCAAGCAGCAGTGCCTGGCCCTCAAACACGGCCCCGGTCTCCATGTAGCACTCGTTTGCCCTTGTTTCGCCTTTGATTTACCAGATTTGGGCAACCTATGCGGCCACGCTTTGTGGTTGTCTTCTGAACTTTGGAATCTTCGAGAGCAAGGGCCCAAGTGAAGTTCCAGCTCCAGCTTACTTGGGACATTCCACCAGCCTTCGTTGGCTACAAAAGCACCTGTCGAGCAAGGGTGCCATCAATTAAATTCGTTCCAAGGCATGAAGTGTGTCATTCTGGGTTGTGTGGAGCTAGTCAAGCATGAGACGGCTTCGCCCTTGGCAACTGAATCATTGCAACACAGGGGGGTTGAGATGCCTGAGATGTGTTGTTAACAATTGAGGTTAGACGCCAGGCCGAACTTGATGCAAGGAGAACTCGGATGGTGAGGGACTCATCCAAGTCACCAGTTTATTTTGTGCCTGATGCTTCCGGGACTCCTTTCAGCGGTCCTCATTGACGCCATTGACCTGCACAGCACAAACACACAGGAAGGTGGAATACTTGAGCAGTTCTGAATTCAACAGAATGCTGGAGAGCTGGCAACTGGCCCAGGTATTGAAGGAGCAACGCTTGCAAGAGCGACGCTCACGCTCGCAGGCCAGTGGGTTGACCTCCCTACAGTATGTCAAGAGATAGTGTTGAGGGAACCGGAGCCAACCCCCAAATTACAGGATAATACAAGTTAAAAGATGATTAATGATACAAGCTAAGCAGATAGAATCTGGCGGCTTAACCACAACTCACAGCGCCCAATTTGTGGCTTGGACAGTCCTTTGGTAGCACATTGCATGTTGATCAAAGCGCGTAGAAGGCCGATAGAAGGTCAATGGACTATCCGATGGAGAGCTATTGTATTCATTCTTGCCTGGTCCAACTTGCATGTCCAAGTCTTGCAACGCTGCCGTATCATTGCGTTGGGATTTGGATGGATTTGGTAATGTGTAGGAATGTGTAGGATCCCAGCCAGACAATGCAGCGCGCACACACACACATGTGTGTATCTATGATCTATAGATGTTAATTTACTGTATATAATTTTATTATATTGTAATATGACAAAAAATTTGATAGTTTAACATATTTTTATATAGTATTTTTTGATACTTACACGACACATATGTTGCCGTACACGGCTAGGCTAGTGCTGGCTTCTGGCTCCCGGCTGTGACGTTTGCTCGAGCCCTGCCAGTTGGTAAGTCTGCTCTCGACCGAAACTCGAGCTGACCCTTTTCGCCATGGAGGTGCTTTTTGATCCCCGGTTGTTGCCTCCCCCCCGTGTTGGGGAGCGGTATTCGAGTGTGTTTCGTGCCGGGGATCCTTCAGCCGAGCTGCCTTTGTGGGATCTTCGTGGAACTGCCTGTTCTATCGCCGGAGGGCATGTGGGTGTTGTCTTCCCTTGTTCAGGTTATGATCTCAAGGTCCTGCAGGTTTCGCCTTTGCTGCTTTGGGCTGATACAGACTCATGGTTTTCTACTTCCCCTTCTTCACGAGAGCCGTGCTTTCCGCGTTACATCGTGGACATTTGCTCGGGAATGGGTGCGATGAGCCTTGGACCTAGGTTCTTAGGCTGTGAGACCTTGGCCTATCTCGAGATCAATGAGTTAGCTCGTGCTCACTTGAAGAGGAACACATCGGCCAGCATCATTAGTGGCAGCGTGTGTCATGATTCGGTCCTCAAGCAACTTCACCAGAAGGTTGATGATTTTGATTTTGCTGTTTGCTCAGGTTTCCCCTGTCAACCATTTTCAGTTCAGGGACATCAAGGGCACCAGAAAGATGAAAGGGCTCTGGTTTTTTGGGGGACCTTGAGATCCCTTTTGCTCCTTCAACCAGTCTGTGCTTGGCTGGAGTGCACTCCGGGAGCAGGTTCAGACCAAGGAGTCCAGGATGGCCTTCAGCAGCTGTGTGTGCTGCTGAACTGGCAACGCCACGAGTTAGTCTTTGACCTGGCCGATCAGTGGCCTATGCATCGTCGACGCTGGTGGTGCGCTTTGTATCCTTCCAGCTGGACCGGAGCTCCTTTGCGGCCTTGGCCTAGAATGGTTCCACCTATGCAGATTGGGCATGTGCTTGATTCATGGGGCTGTTGGCCACTTCATCATGAAGAAGACTTGCAGTTGTCCGCCTCCGAGCTGCAAGCTTACAGCAATGCTGAGTTTGGATCGGATGCGCGGCTTCTCCATTCTCAGATGGCCTCGCCAACGGTTTTGCACTCTTATGGTTGTGCTCTTAGCAGCTGTCCCTGTGGATGCAGGGATCGACCACTGGCATTGACCTCATTGTTGAGCAAAGGGCTTCGTGGATCCTTTGTGATTTCGGAAGTCCACATGAACCCAAGGTTCTTGCATCCTGAGGAGTTGGCGATCCTGTTGACTCTTCCAATGGGGCAGGAGTGGGATACGTACCCTCGATCTTCGCTGTGCCTTTTGGGTCAATGTGCCGCTCCACTTCAGTCGTTGTGGGTCTTCGTCCAAATGCTCAATGCCTCAGCAAGTACAGTGCCGGGACTTCATCGCTTAGATCCGGATGCAGTGCTTGCTGGCTATAAGGCAGCCCTACAGAATCAGGTCGTGGCCAAATTTCCAGCGGCTGAACCTCCTCGTCCACAAGCTCTTCGTCTTCGGCTGGACACAGGGGCTGAATTCTGGTTGCTCAAGCGAGGCACCGTGACGGTTAGCCAGCTTCTTCAAGCTGAACACATTTCCTTGGGTTGGGGTGAGACTGCTTGTTGCACATCGGCCAAGGGTCAGCTGGCCCGTGATGAGGTGATCAATGAAGAATTTCCCATTCAGCTGTGGCATCATCCTAAACGTCAACGGCGTGATCCTCCTGTTGGACTTCTCGTCATTGGGATTGAGCACCATGGCAGTTTCTTGATTTCGTGCTTGGAGGCCGGTTCATTCCTTTTTGAAGCCTTGTATGAACACCACCTCATCGATGTGGACTTCCTTGTGAATGAAGATGGCAAGGTCTTCGGTAAGGACTATCGTGTTTGGTGTACACTTCGGTTGAAGACCATCACTCCGGCATCCTTCCCACGGTTGGGCCCATTGCCTATCTGCTCGTCTTCTACACAGGCTTTTGGGGAGTTCACTTGCCTTGAGGAGGGTCTTGCTGGTGCTACGGTCTGGCAGGCCATGGTGTCGCTTTGTCAATCTTCTTTGCAGGGGGAGATTACGGAGGTTGTCCAGCTTCATCCCGGTTTCCTTGATCAGCTACGACTGGGTTCTATCACGCAACAGCAATGTGTGGCACTTCGCTATATGTGGCATCAGAGCGCTGGCTATGCGGTGGGTTGTTTTTCGGCTCAAGGGCACTGGGCTGTTCTCTGCTGCAGACAAGATGGAGATGAGCTTCATGGGGCCTACTATGATGGGTTGCGCTCTCGGCTACAGCATGATGCATGGCTCCTGTTTTCTCGTTTGGCGGATCTTTTTCGGTTGCAGCTGGGGAGCTTCACTTCGCACTGCCTTGTTCGCCAGGAGCACTCCACTACTTGTGGCACGGTTGCTCTTGCACATGTGGCGTTGCTTCTTGGTCTTCAGGGATCCTTTACTCCGAATGACATCTGGACGTGGCATCAGTGGTTGCTTCAGCACCAACAACAATCTGATTCACTATGTGCTTGTGGACCGGAGGATCCCACTTTGAATGAGTTAGCTGTGCTCCTTCATGGCAAAGGCGTGCCTGCTGCGGAATGCAAAGCCCGAGCTTTGGCTGCCATGACGGCTCTTGGGCGTGGTCCTGTGCTCAATGCCATGGCAGCAAAAAATCCTTGGCAGAAGTTGAAGGGCTTGGCGTCAAAGCCGGCCACACCATTCCGTTTTTTGACACCTGCTGAACTGTCTGAGTACATTGATCAGCAGTCAAAGTTGAAGCATGGCACCTCTCACAAGGAGAAGAAGCAGAAGTCTCAGGCACAAGCTTCCATGCCGAAGCCCATTGAGTTGGATCCGAAGCAACTTCGATTTGTGCCCGCTCACTTTCGTGACCAAGATGGGGATGAAGTCCCACAAATTGATCTCTCACAGGTTCTCTCCGGTGCCCGGGGTTTAGCAATCTGCACTCGCAGGGACGCTCAGCCCTTCATTGATGACTTTGCTGCCATTAGCACCGATGCTTTGGGTCTTCTCTTGACCAGTGAAGTTGATAGCTCAGAGAAAGGAGCAGCCAAGATCGGAAATCTTCGCTATCCCGTCACCTATTTGGGCACTGGCGAACAGATCCTCATCAATGGGGCTCTTTTGACTCTGGGTGACCTTGCCATCAATCGACACCTCGCTAAAGGTCCGGATAAAGATCCTGACCATGAGAAATCTGTGGTCATTAGAGTGCAGGCCTTTAAGGATGAACTCCCTCTGGCATGGACTACCTTTGTGCAAGCTCCGTTGAAGCACATCATTCAGATGACATTGCCCCTTCAGACATGTGAAGGGCAGGCATGTGGTGCTAATTGTGGCCGATTTCATCCAGCCGTTGATGCAGCGGACTCCGCTGTCATTCATGAGATTTGGGCTCGCAGATTTTGCAACCTGGATTCTAAGACTGTTTCAGCAGAGCTTGCCGAATGCTTTTGCGCCTTCATGAGGATTGCGGAACCGGCTTTGAAGCAGGTCGTTGCTTCCTGTGTGGAGGGCCTCTATTTTGAACCGAGAGCCTCTACCGGTACGGGATCTCATCCAGACTACTTAGTTGTCTGGTTGCCGCCATGTTCTCGTCAAGATGCAGTTCACAAGCTACGTACTGCATCAACGGCCATCAGCCTGGTTCGGTTCAAGACCAAATATGGACTTCGTGTGGGTTGTGGGGATGCCGAGGCTCTTCACCTCAAGTTGCGACCCAATACCGCCTTTTTCGCCTGCAAGCCTACCTTTACATATCGGGCTCATCCTTTGCCTCATGGTTTGGACCGCAAAGCCATGACCAAGTTGCTCAGTGATTGGGGCTGGAAGAAAGCGCGACCTTTGCAGCCTACTCGTGGCAGCTCGATCGGTGGAGCCTGGTTGATTGGGGCTGATGAGGAGCCACCGTCTCCAGTGGTGACAGCTTTCAAAGCCGATGTGCTTCTGAATTTGCTTCCGGCTAAGGAGACTGTTGAGCGACAGATTCCTTTCTTTGCCTCACGCCGGACTATTCAGCACGCCAAATCCTCCGGTACTCCGACACCTGGCAAGGAAGCAGTTAGCAGTGATCCCTGGCAGAATGGGTCCGATCCATGGAAGGGCTTTGTTCCTACGGTTGCTCCTACCACCTCTTCGGCGGGGCGTAAAGCACTCGACGATGTCGCCGACAAGTTGCGGGCAGACATCAAGGCTCAGGTCTCTAAGGAGGTCGCTAACCATACTTCTGCTTCTTCGGCTACTAGTTCGGTGACTGATTTGCAGGCTTGGAAACAGCAATCTGATGAACGGTTCCAAAAGCTGGAATGTGGTTTGAAGGAGTTGGGGCATCAGCAGCACACCATGAAGCAATGGTGTCAGGAAACGGCACAGAAGCTGCAGATCTCAGAGCAGCAGCAACATCAGCTCAACCAGAACATACAGCAGGTCCAAGCTGAGGTGCAGACGTCCTCGCAGCAGCTTCACCAACAGGTGCGT